TAGATAGTTAATAGGTCGTGTGGAATTCTACATGGCACATTTTTCCATGTCATCATACTCCATCACATGTCACATCAAATTTGGTTGGAATTTAAGTTGAAAAAATTTATATGTGCTAATATGGTTACTAGAAGCTTATTTCATAATCTTTTTGTCCAAAATTAAAAAAAGCATACTAATATGATTAAAAATATAAAATTCATGATTTTTTGAAACATTAAACCTACATTAATGATCTGGCAATATACAAATTTATGCACAATAGCACAAAATTACCAATCGAATTCAAAATTCAAGAGGGATTTTGAAAAAAACGAATGGAGATTTTATTTGTGACCAACAAATAGCTAGCAATTTTTAAAGAAAAACCCTTAGTAGGGTGTTGGCCATAAACATAAAGATACAATATCTTCATCATACTATTGTTATACGACATTTGTGAGACTCTTGAAAATAAAATATTTATTATTAAATCATTTATGATTTCGGATATGTGAATTATTAATGATTTTGAGAGTTACCACATAGTATTGTAAGAACGAGGAACCATCAACCTAGATATAACACTGGTTCGGACATTCTAAAGTAAGGATTTAGTTACGTTTATTGAAAGATATCGATCACCCAAAAGCATTCTTTCATGAGAAAAGTATTACGTCTAGCTTAGTCTTAAAATTTATCCGATGAGGTGTTTTGTTTCGTGCCAAATTATTTTCAATTCAAATCCAAGTTTTTTATTTCCTAGGCCAAATTAAGTTTTTTATTTTTGTTTATGACATCATATTGAACTAATTATCGGATCCCTTCGTTGAGAGACACATCAGTTCAACATCGGATTCACTTTAAGTCTCGATATAATCGTTATGTCGAAGAATACCCTAATTACTAAAGTGATGATTTTTTTTTCTAACAACAATTCCTATTAGATATGAGACTTTGTTAATTTTTCTTAGCATTTTCTATTTTTATTTTATTTTTCCTAGCATTCTCTCTTTTTTTTTAAATAAAAAATAAAATTCCTTGCCTAATATTTCTCCTTTTGTTTTCTTTTATCTCTATTTCTTTTTACTTATTATTTTTTCTATTGTTTTGATGTTGTTTTTTATTTTTTTATTTTATTATTTTTTTTCGATTGTTGATTAGTGGTGAGGAATCGTCATCGGTTTCTAAAAATTAAAAGACTCGATAATTCGTTCATCAATTAATTATCTATCCTAATTTTTAACATAAAACTTAACTAATTAAACTTTTCGATTAAATGAACAAACAAATAAATCAATAATTCAAAAAGATTAATATTTAAATCAGACATGAAAATAAAAGCATATATATATATATATATATATATATATATATATATAAACAAACATAGGCATGATTCACTAGGACAAAAAACTGAAAATTAGGTTATTGGGCCCTTTGGATCCACTAAGCTTTCGACCCATTGGGCGAGGCCCGTATTAGGGAAGCTGCTCGCCTCTTTTTCTTCTTTTTTTCTTTTTTTTTCCTTTCTGGCTGGGCTAACCCCAGCTTAGCTTATTTTCTTTTCGGGCTAGGCTAGACCCAGCCCATTGTTTTTCCTTTTTTGGGCAAGGCCTGAACCCAGCCCTCTACCTTTTTTTCTTTTTTATTCTTTCCTTTCCTTTTTCCAGGCCCAAGCCCTCTCTTTTTTTTTTTTTTTTTACCATTCTTTGTCCTTCTTCATCCTTTCCTTCTCTTTTCTTTCTATCTCCCCTCTCCCTGCTTCTCTCGCAGAACACAAACGCCGAACCTTGGACCAAGGCACACTGTGGTAACCAACTTGAGTTTTCCTAATCTAGACCTTATTCGTGAGCTGGAATTTTAAACTCGAATGAAAAGGAAACGAATGACAGTATTAGAAAGAAATGAAAATGAAAACTAAAAAAAACTGATCTGGGTTGCCCGAAAGGGATGATTGTTGCTTTGCAGGTTTGATGGATGAGGATGGGGTTTCGGAGTGGTTTCTGGAGACTAGGGAGTTTGTAATTGGTGTTGGATGTTTGGACATAGTCTTGAATCCAGGAAGCTGCCCAGAAAACTCAGAACATGAAGAACAGAAACCCAGAAATTAAGAACACAAACCCAGGTATTCAAGGGAAACCCAAAAATTCAAGGAATACCCAAAAAACTCGAGAACACGAAACCAGCAATTCAAAGGAAAACCCAGCTGTTCATCCCCAAAACCCAGAAATTCAAGGGGAAAAACCAGAAACCAGAAAACGACCCAGAAATTCGAGGGAAAACCCAGGTGTTCATCCCGAAAACCCAGAATTTCAAGTGGAACCCAGAAATTCAATTGCTGCCCAGAAAAAACCAGAAATCCCAGAACTGAAAATCGTTTGATTTCTCTTGTTTTCACTCTCTGCTATCGATTTCCCCTTTTCTCACATAGAATCCCCCTCCCTGACCTCTATAATCCCTTTTTTATACCCAATTCTCAACCAATTCCATTTCTCCTGCCAAATCAGTTTCCGTCAAAAACCTCCCTCTCCTTTATGTTATCCCTCTAGCGCTCCTATCCTTTCCAAAGTGCAGTGAACCTTGCGGAACAAGCCAGGCTAGATCCATGAGCTGGCTTGAAGGAATCAAATTCCGTTAGGAAACCAGGAAATGGTTTTGGAATGCCAGAGACGGTGAGATAACCGCCTCAAATTTTTATTTGTGGCAATTTGCCAAGTCAGTCCCTCATCTTCCAAACGTTTCCAATTGCTCTCTAATTCCTTTCAATTATGCCCTTAATTGGTCTTATTTTTGTTCAATTTGACCCTTATTAGCTTCTAATTTCAAGCTGATTTAATGCAATTATGCCCCTGATTAAACCTATCCTTCAAATTTTGTATTTTTATATTTTTTTCCTTCTTTGTATTTTTGCATTTTTTTTATTTTTTTATATATAATAACTAGCATATAAAATTTCAAGCTGATTTAATGCAATTATGCCCTCGATTAAATGTGCGTTGCCGCGAGATGAGAGGTGAGTTATGCAACATTCTTATGTATTCATTTATATAAAATACAAAATTTCAAAAATAATTATATAATAGGATCACGCCAAAAAAATTCCAAAAAAAAAAAATCAAAACATATATTTCATATTTTGTTGTAGGGTTAACTAAACGAAAAGTCCGCAAAGTTCAGTAATATAAAATTGCTAATTAGATATTGTGCTTATATAAACATTTATTTTATTAAAAATATGTATAATAACTGGTAACTAAAATAATGATGTGGTAGTTTTATGAATTTTAGATGATTAATTTTCACCATTTATTCTTTATCCGTAATTTTTAATGAGATAGAGAGACTATCCAAAAGAAAAAGGAAAAAAACCTTATTCAAATCGAGAATTTGACCCAAAAAAAAAAAATAGAGATAAAATTGCATATGATAAAAATTAAATGATCAAAACAAAGTAAAGATCATAAAAAAAAAAAGATCAAAATAATTATAAAAAAAAACTTTCACTAAAAGCACAAAAAAATTATAAACAATAACACTAAAAAAAATTCATTATGCATAAGGCAGGAATAAAAATAAAATATGATAGAATTTAATGACCAAAATATAAAAAAAATCATAAAATAAGAACCAAAACAGAAAATGTTTTTTACTAAAAGCAAAAAAACAAAAAAAAACTCAGAATAATAAAACTATATTTAATTTTAGTGTAGAAAGAATAATAATCAAATATAATAAAACTTCAATGATCAAAATAAAAGAAAGATCACAAAATAGAAACCAAAACATAACAAAAAGTATTATTAAAAGTAAAAAATAGTTCCTTGTAGGGAAAAAATCAAATATAATAAAAATTTAATGATCAAAATAGAAAAACAATTACAAAACATGGATTAAAATAAAAATAAAATTCTACATGATAATAAGAATTATAACGTAAATAAAGGTTTCATTAAAAGCAGGAAAAAAAAGAGCTTAAAATGGTGAAACTTTATTTAGTTTTAGTATAGTAAGGATAAAAATTAACGATGTTAAAATTTTAATGACTAAAATAAAAACATATCACAAAATAAGAACAAAAAAATATCATAATTTTTTACTAAAAGGAAAAAAATATTTATTATAGGAATAAAAATCAAATATAAAAAAATTTTAATGATCAAAATAAAAAAAAAATTACAAAATATAGACTAAAATAAAAACAAAGTTTATTAAAAGCCAACGGAGGGCCAGCAATTGGAAGGAAAAAAAAAAAAAAAAAAGGCGTTACATACAGCATGCGAAAAGAAAAAAAAAATTATGAACAGTTAATCAAAGTGAAAGTGAAAATGCAACAGTTGTTTTGTTTTTTCTTTTAGTTTATTTTGTAATAAGTACTTAAAATAAAATGCATAAAAATAAGAATGAAATAAAAAACAAAATGAAACAAAAATAATTGGTAATTAATATAATAAAGGAGGATAAAATAAATGACAATAATAAAAATAAAAAAGATAAAATTAGAGGAAAAAATATAACCCAAAATTTGGGTTATGACATTCATCATACTAATTGTTTTCACTACCTGATTAGTGACCAATATATAAATATTATTAATTTAAAACAAAACATGATATGTATAAATCACATTAAAATATATTTCTCGTATCATGGTCCATATATAACCCAAGTTGAACCAGAAAAGAAATGAGTGTTTTCTTATGAAAATTCAACGGAAAAGCTAGGCTTCCAATATGTGATGTTCTCGAAAGTTAACAACGGTGAAAATCTGGTTTCATTGACTGGAAAACTAAAAGATAATAATAAATGGTCATTATCCACGGAGACCTAGATGACTTTGGGAACGCCAGTGGGGTTTGTGTCTCCATCCTTGTAGGGATGATAGCTAGGCCATTCTTTACGTCGACAAATCGTTCTCAAAGACCTTGTTATATCCAAATTTATTATACATATGGTTTACCCTTTCAAAATTATGCATTGACGTAAATTATTAGCCAATACTGGTGTACCATCTTTTGATCATGGCTATACTGCAACTTTTAATCATCTTATGGTCTCTACCATACTTCCTAGAAGCACAAATTCAATATTCTCACACGGCCCTAGTGTCCACAACATGGACAAATAATAATCTGTCCTTGCCATCAATCTCTAGTGCCAGTCGGATCATTTTGTTGAATGAGAATGGTTTTGCTTGTGGATTCTACACGGACTATGGTGGGTTTTTCTTCGCCATCGGGATAGCCGAAGCCTGGACAGATTGGACTGCTGGGAATGGTAGCTGGCATTTTAGCCATCTAACATGGGTGGCAAACAGAAATATGTCTGTTAGCGAGAATGCAACTCTGCAGTTTCTCCCAGAAGGAAATTTGGTCTTAAGAGATGCAGATGGGACTTTGGTTTGGTCTACCAACACTTCTAACATGTCTGTTGTAGGTATGAAGATGATGGAAACAGGAAACCTTGTTCTTTACAATCGAAACAACAAGACCGTCTGGCAGTCTTTTGATTATGCGACAGACACGCTGCTCCCTGGGCAGAAACTGGTGGTAGGGCAGAAACTGGTGGCTAGTGTTTCCATAGGTAATAGATCAGAGGGAAGCTTCTTTCTTTCTGCTACATCTGCAGGTTTGTCTGCTTTTTACCAAGCTAATGTCCCACAAATGTACTACAAATCTTTTAATACATTTGACTACTCAGAGATCAAGAGCATCCAACTAGATTACACTGTGTCTGATAATGGTACTTTATGTCAATTTATTATGTCTGCTTCAACTGGTTATGTTAAACCATTGTCTAGAAGCTCCTATAGATGCTCACAAACAAGTTTTATAAAATATGATCCTGATGGGCATCTCAGATTTTATGATGATACTTTAGACCAGCCTGCGGATTTATTGGCAGACGAAATGGATGAATGTGATTACCCAACATCTTGCGGTACTTATGGGATCTGCTCAAATGGAAAGTGCTCGTGTCTGTCAGGATTTGCTCGAGATAATGACTCGATGGCTCAAGGAAAATATGGATGTGTAGAGATTAATCCAATCACATGTGAAGTTCCCCAACGTTCTCTGTCTCTCCTTACATTGGAAGATGTCTATTACTTCAATTATATTGACCCTGATGCTGCAGCGTTAAAAGAGACGGACATGAAGAGCTGTCAAGAGGCTTGCTTAAAAAATTGTTCGTGCAAAATTGCTCTATTTCTACAGACGGGTGCTTTTCTGAGGGGGAATTGTTTTCTACCCTCACCAGTTCTTTCGCTTACAAGGGATGCAGAGGGACCATTTACGAATTATATTCAAGTATACAAGTCATATGCATTTATCAAAGTCTCCAATCATGGAAAGATTGGGAGAGTTTCTCGTCAAATAATAGCAGGATCAACAACTGGAATCATCGTTCTAGTAGGTCTGGTTGTAGGCTTGTGGATTGTGCTTTTAAGGAAGAGAAAAAATGGAGCGGAAGGAATGGAAGATTTCCTTAATCAACTACCAGGAATGCCCTCGAGATTCACATATGAGGAACTGAAAGCAGCGACTGGGGATTTCCACAAGAAGCTTGGAAAAGGAGGGTTTGGCTCCGTGTTTGAGGGAAATTTAGAAACTGGAGAGAAAATTGCAGTGAAATGTCTCGAAGGTTTAGGCCAAGGGAAGAAGGAATTCTTGGCAGAGATCAAGACTATAGGAAGTATCCACCATGTCAACCTGGTGAGACTAATCGGATTCTGTGCAGATAAGTTCAATAGGCTTTTAGTCTACGAGTTCATGTGCAACGGGTCGTTGGACAGTTGGATATTCCATAAAGAACCACAACAACCTTCCCTAGATTGGGAAGGTAGAAGGAGAATTATCTTGGACATAGCAAAGGGACTGGCCTATCTCCATGAAGAATGCAGGCAGCGAATAGTCCATTTAGACATTAAACCCCAAAACATCCTGCTTGACGTAAAGCTACACGCTAAGATATCAGATTTTGGCTTGTCCAAGCTGATTGAGAAGGATCAACGCCAAGTGGTGACAACAATGAGAGGAACTCCAGGATATTTGGCTCCTGAAATGTTTAGCTCAGTAATCACAGAGAAGGCAGATGTTTACAGCTTTGGAGTTGTAGTCGTGGAAGTTGTCTGTGGAAGGAAAATTTTGGATAGGTCACAGCCTGAGTGCAAACATTTGCTACCTATTTTTATGAAGGCGGCACAGGAGGGTCAATTGATTGATATGGTTGACAATAACAATGAGGATATGCAATTGCACAGGTCAGAAGCTGCGGAGACGATGAAGGTTGCTACTTGGTGTCTGCAAAGTGATTACACCAGAAGGCCTAGCATGTCAACTGTGGTTAAGATTTTAGAGGGCAAAACGGATTTTCAAGCAGACCTAGACTTTTGCCTTGAGAATCCAACAGCAATAAGAAAAGAGGCAGAGCTGGGCACTACAACCACATTGCTGCCGTCACTGCTATCAGGCGCAAGGTGAAGAAAGATCTTTTGCTTCTGAGAAGTGCCACACGCAACCAAGATGACTTAGGTCCGGTGATCTATTGCAGTAGATCCTTCCACGAAATTTTTCCACTTGCTTTTTACTTGGTTTCTATAAATTTTGTTTTCAAAAGTAAAACAACGACTTTGAACTTTGAATGTGAATATGGTCGGTTTTCACACTAGTGGCTCCTCCAGCCACCCCTTTAACATCAATCATATATCCTTGAATAATAATCTATTTTCTATGCCTGTCATTTTCATTTCAGCTGATGGATCTGTAATGGCTGCCGTGTTACTTATTTAAGTCTTATTCCCAACTTAAGAAAAAATCTCACCTTACAATTTGCTGTAGAGGTTAGAATGATGATCTCCTTAATTATTTAATTTGGCTTTTAATTACATAAAACTATATAGCTCCAAATTAATTATAAAATAACCTCTCATGTTCTTTTGAAAATAATTAAAAGTGGGGACGATGATATTCCTGATCCTATAAGTTGTTAATATCAAGAGACTTAGTTAACCTTCATTTAGAATGTTCTTTAATTACATTAAAAGTACAATGATATAAATTTTTACCTTCTAAACAAAACAAATAATATTATTAAATTTGAATATATGACTCTAAATTATTATAGAAATATTATTCCCCCCCCCCCCCCCCCCCAAAAAAAAAATGCAAAGAATATATATAATGTTTCGGACATTAATTATCTCTGATATAAAAAGTCTAAATATTCATAACCAGAAAATCAGAAATTAGGCATATGTATTGTGTTTCGTGGCAGCTTCCTACTGCAGCTGTTTTACATTAATAAATTATTTGCAGAACGCAGAGAGAGTAATACGTAGCTTCTATTTCTTTCCTTCATAGTAGCTAGAGCTCATGGCTATATCTTTTAATCCATGTTGTCCTACGTGCTTGTGCAGCTTTTAATCATATTATCTCCTGCATACTTCCTTGAAGTCCAAAGTGATTATTATCTCACAGCACAATTCTCCACCTCATGGACAAATAATTTGTCCAATCCTCTCAAATGATCATGATGAATGAGCTCAATTCTCCTTTTTCTTTTGACGCTAAGTATATTAGATTTTTTGGTTGTGGAATTTACTCTCAACACAAGAAAAATATTTCCTTCTATTTTGCAGCTGGGGCAGTAGAAAGATGGGATAATACAGATCTGTTCGACTAGAAGTCCTTGTTGAACTTAATAATATATATATATATAGTAATGAAAGGAAGCAAGAACAGGAAAATATTAAATCTGCTGTAAAATCTTATATATTTTTCATTGCTTGATCATCTTCCTAAATACATAAAAACGTCACAGAATTTCAAAAATAAAAAAAAGCATGTACAGACATGTTTGCATGACTAATAAACATCCTAAACCACTACCATTAACTGTTAGTAGTATTATTAACAGAGATTCAAAAACAGAACTTAAAGATTAGCCAATCTCCATGAAGATTGCAGACAAAGAATAGTCCACTTAGATATCAAACCGCAAAACATTTTGTTTGATGCAAATCTGCAAGCTAAGATTTCTGATTTTGGCTTGTCTAAGTTGATTGACAGGGTTCAAAGTCAAGTGTTGACCACAAACGAGAGGAACTACGGGGTATTTGGCTCCTGAATTGTTCAGCTCAGTCATCACAGAGAAGGCAGATGTTTATAGTTTCGGCGTTGTAGTCATGGAAGTTGTCTGTGGATTTGGATAGGTCACAGCCAGAGTACGTTCATTTGCTCCCTATTTTTATGAAGAAGGAACAGGAGGACCAACTGATTGATATGGTTGACCAACGAGGTGGAGAAAGATCTTTTGCTAATAAATCATGTTTTTATTTATTTATTTTTTTTGGGTTCTATATTTGTGATGTATATGTTTCCCTGATGGGTGTTTATCTTCAGTTCTCTTCATAATGCTACTGTAGAGTTATGTTATCTGGCATGAAAAATTGCTATAGTCTACAATTAGCTACTTATCTAACAGTAAGATAATAGAACAGTAAATTGTATCTTCAAGTTTGTCACTGCGATGATTATAACTTCTTTGGCATTTAAAGTCGAGACATGCCATCAGTATCCAGTTAAATTTTTTGGGTTAAAAGAATACGTTTGTAGCCAACAAAGTTTCAAATTTACATGATGAAACAATGAGAAAAAATGTTTTATACCAATGTTTTACAACTACAGGCTTAAGAAATGAATCCTCAGAGACATTAATTGCAGTTGGGATGAAAAGAAAAGACTGGATGATACATTGTGCCGATTCTTTTCAGAACAATTGCAACCAAGGCATTGAATTGAATTGTGTTTGACTTAGCAGTGAAAGCAAGGAAAAAAGAACCAAGAAGCGTTTTCCAAATACAACCTCAAATTTTCTGCATTTTCTTTGTGAGAAAAACGATCTTTTGGGTTGAAATCTAAGCTATATATCTCCCTAAAAACCACCTATTTGCTTGAAGCTACAATTTCTCTTTGCATATTGCAACTCTCATTGCTTAGGTATAATGATGTCAAAGTCACTAACAGTCCATTCTGCAACTTGATCAGGAGCTTTGAATATTTCAGTTCCTAAATCAATTGACATCCACTGCCTCCTAGCTGGACGAGTCCCAGGATCCTGCGAAAGTAATAGCAGCTTTATCGTAATGTCAAAGAGCTTTATCCATTTTAATAATTCATTATGTCACTTCCTTTTGGCCTCTCTAAAAATTTCCTTTCGTTCCAATATGCAAGATTCATTCTATCTACTGACCTTTAGTTTCGAAAGAACAAGCAAATTTGGAGGTCTGAATCTGCCCTAAGGCCTTTCGTCACTTGTTTTTTTTGTTTCTCCGTAATTTAAGTCACTAATCCTAAGAGAAAAGTGAGTAGACAGAAAATCAAACCTGGTAGAAGTAAAGTGATTGCGACAGCCTCCCAACATCAAGTTCCCATGTTCTTGGATCACCAATCCAACCCTCACCTTGCTTAGTTGGATATCCATACTCACCCCAAACTGGATGTGGTAAAATCTGTATTATCTCTTGAGGCTGAGGATTGCTATATGGATCACACAAACTATAAGGAACTTCCAGATGCCCCGCATTCCCTGGAGAACAATGAAAGTGATAGGCGGCATAAGGGAAGCTAGCAGTGTCATTGCGATGTACACGTGTTCCGTTAGGGAATGTATGGTATGGGGGACACGCATTGAGGTTGTTTGGATGGCACCATGAACTTGCATTTGGATTTATGATCATTTCACTGTATCGAGTGACATCTGAAGTAACATTGCCATCACAAGGTTGTCCATTGTTCTTCCAACAGCTTCCCATGTCCATTAGATAGAACTGGCTTCTAGGACCCCCACCTTTGGTTACATTTAAAGTGAACCTTACTTTGAAGTTTGGTGATTCTGGGATCTGCATATGGTAGACATGTCAAGTAACTCCAATCATTCACAAATTTGTTTTGCTTGCAAGGAAAACTTGCATTAGTTCATAATATAGACTGATTTTGAAAGCTCTAAATATAGGTGTAAATCTGTCTTCTCTTTTTGAAATGTTTTCCAGGATTTGACCTACATTTCAATCTAATTTTATGCATCGTAATATGGTATCTACACTGTAAGCTTGACAGAAAGAAAAAAAATTTAAGCATTCCCTTTGTTGTATCTAAACTATTAAAGAATTTGAACCAAGTTTTTTAATTAGATCGAACAATGTAGAGGGCAACTCACAATTTTTGACATACCCCTTGTTGGGTAATGGTACCCACCAGAAACTCCATGTGTGGCATCTGATCTCAAGTAAAGCATCAACCATGGATACTTTATTGAAGTCCTCAAAAGATGATGAAAAATCCAACTTCCTTGTCCAACTTCCTTCTCCCATGTCACAGAATGGTAAGAAATGTTATCCATCAGTCCCCTGCTCAAATCAGCATCCAAGTCCCATGACCCATAAAAGCTTCCTTTAAGAGTCGTCCTATTAGGCCCTTGCAATGTAGTGTAATCGTGATAAACAAATGGCTGGTTCATGCACCCTTTTCCAAAGCAAGGGAACCCAGTATCGGGGCCAAAAGGCCCCACTCTGTGGCCATTTTGGGGGCACTTGGCTGCGTAAGTGTCCATGTTGCCACTCTTGAGCATGATCATCCAGAATTGCCATGGATTAGGGGTGTCTTCAACTTGACATTTTGAGCCTAAATAAAGTTCCTTATCAGCAGCATAAAGGTTTACATCGTAAAGGGCATTTGGATGCACTCCAAGAAAAGGATCTCCAACAGCAAGCTTGTTGTCTTCCTCTGTGACTCTATGGACCAATCCGTATTTCTTTTCTATTCAAGACAGTAATTACAGAGACAAAAGTAACTCAAATTGAAAATGTTTGAATACTTTCAGCTGAGAACTTGCTACAGAAATACGGAAATTATATAAACCACCCTTCTTTTTAATAAGCAATTGTCTGTTCTGAATCTAAATTCGTGCTGGATATTTATGCATTGCAAGGATTTATTAGATGAATATATTAAACAAGCACGTCTTTTGAAATATAACCAGGTGCAGATAGAAGACAATTAAAGAAAGAATGGCCTGGAAATCTTACCTTCTGCCTTTGGAGTAGTTTTGTATATGTCAAAGCAATCTGCAGCTCTTGGGCTGCCCATATGAGGAACTTCTTCTCCAACCTCATTGCATTGATTCCATGACTCTATTGCCAACCTTAAACCATCTCTTCTCATTCCAGGATCGCCTACTGCTGATACATGCTCATTTCCAGCTGCAGGATATACGGCTACTGAAAGAAAAACCACCTCCAGAACAAGAAGAAAATAAACTGCTTTCTTCTGTTCATCCATTGGTTATAATAAAGCTAGTTTGATATCACACATGTACATGTACATGACTATATATATATTATGATAATGGAATGAAGAATTTGAGTAGAAATGTAGAATTCGAACTTAATTGATTGGAAGTTAAGTACTAAAAAATTGCTTCAGATTTTGGTCTTGCTTTCCAGTTGCATGGAACATACTCTTCCTCATAATGCTCTGCAGATATTATTGCGATTTTTGTCTGTGTAACTTTGGTCGGTACATATTCCGTTTCATAGAAGGCTACTCATGCCTTTCTTCAACCAACTTTCCCACCAGAAAAGAAAGGGACAAACCAAATTTTTAATGCCAGACGATATAAGCTAGGGATAGAAAAGGACTTTTCTCAAAGCAGCTTGCATGGTCACATCTGTTTAAAATCATTTGCAGAAAACTAACATTTTCACCAAGGAGTGCTTTTCCAAAGTTAGAAAAATCACTTCGCAAAATATTAGAAGTTCAACTTCAGCATATGTAAGAAAATGTGCCATTTCTAGCTAACTTCCGTCATATTATCCTTAATGCCCCATTTAGCATGATTGATTTCTGCATTGAACATTAGAATTTAGAAATTAAACACAATGGATAATCACATTTCGGTTGATGTTGAAACTTATCCTCGTAGATATTACAAGCAGTAAACAGTTTGGTACAAAGTCACCTAGTGTCTAACCAAATTAGACAAAGTAATATTATGCGGATTACAATAAAATTAATGCTATACTACTTCGACTAAATACTTTGGCGTACGCACAAAGTTCTTGAGCAATTTTGCAGCAGAATAAGAAGAGGAGAAACACCAACATACACCAACAAAGGAGATTCTGGTCCTTCTTGCTGATATTGATCACACAGTCCACTAGAGAAAGATCTGAGACTGACCCTTCTTGCATTTTTATGGAACATGGGTTGCCTTCTCATGCAAAACTTGCTACAAGGCCAAAGAGGGATAGAAAGTGGAACTAGTGGCCTAACTTGAGTGAGTTACCTGAATGCCATTACATGTAAATGTAATTTCTAGCTTTGCAAAGGACTACTCCTAATCTAACTGTGACAGTGACTATAACAGTGGATAAGGCATTAGCATAACTAATTTGGTCTTAACAACAAACATTGATGTTTGCAGCCTTTCTAACTAGAACACCAGTTGTTGGCTTTCTTTAAAACAAAGTGATGCCCTCATCGTATCTGATCTGAAGTAAGTGGAAAGTTTCTTTATTCTCTTCTTAGAATGCAATCAATACTTGTAGGTGCAAAAATTGTTGGCAATACAGGACCTGGACCTACTGCAGGTAGTGATCCAATGCAGCTAAGGATTTGGGCCAATTTGCTTTTATTTGTGGGCCTGAGGCCTGCCTAACCCAACCAATTTCTCAGCCTTAATTTTTATTAAGTGCTAAGATGCCATTTTTTTTTTTTTCCCAGGCTATTAGCCACTGTAGTGGTCTTTGACATAAAAGCAAAAAGTCACTCTCTAGAAACCAAACATAAGCAAAAGGTGAAAGAAGGAAACAGGATGATTTTAAAGAAAACGAAAGGGAATGATTAAAGAAAGAACTCTCCAAAACACTAAAGCCAAAAGGAGAGAACTGTTAGTGCGAATTGTCCAAAATCTGCCTCCAATTCAAAGCCTAGCAGCTGGTTCATACCAAGAAACAAAGTTCACTTCAAGTAGACTGGCTATGCGGGCAGAATGAGAGACCATGAGAATTGTTCAAGTTACAATTCTCGTGAATGAACTTAGGGTGATCCTGCACCTATAGGATCCAAGAGGTCCCCATCTGAGCATGGATTTAGGCATGGAATTTATTTCCAAGTACAAACCATAAAGTGAAAAAAGAAGCCAAAGTGGTCACAGGATTAAGGGCGGGTGCCTCTTTTGAAAAAAACTAGCAGCAGAAAACAAAGTAAGAAACCCACGTTCCTATTTATAAGCTTCTAACTGTCCCAAACTGCTAGAAGTCTCTCTCCCTCTCTCTCTCTCCCTGCCCCATTATCATCCCATTCAGTTTCTTATCACCATCATCATCATCTTCTTCTTCTTCTTTGCAATTGCATAACCTTAACAAATCAAGAGATTCTCTCAAACCAAACAAAGAAATCAATAACAAACAGGAAAAACCCCATTTGTCAGAAGTAGAAAAAGATGAAGTGGGGCAAGAAAAAAAACCCATCTTCTTCTTCTTCGCGCCCATCTTTAATCTCTCATGTTTTCCCCACTTCCTGGCTAACAAAGTTCAAGCACATGAGCGTCAACCCAGGACCAGAACATGCAAAAGCAAAGCAAAAAGAGAAATGGAATTCTGTCTCCACCAGCCCATTGCCATTTGCTGGTGGTGAAGGAGGAGGTAGATTCTATGGAGGGGATGGTGATGCTTTTTGGAGACTTTCTTTCGGAGATGATTGTGCTGATGGTGAGAAGAGCAGAGGTGCTTTGAGATCATTTCATTATGATTTCAACAATGAGCCTGAAGCTCCGCCATCAAGCTGTCACATGTGTAGATCAAATGCTACAAGGGTAAATTATAAAAAAGAAGACACTTTCAAGTTCAGCAACATGATTTCTGAAGTAAGGAAAATGAGAGGACTGCCAAGCGAAATGGAGATTTTGCCTGAAATGGATGCATGTATAAGAGAAAAGGTAGCAGAAATCAGAACACCAAGGTTCAGGGTTGAGAGGGAGAAGAAATTAAGGAAAACAGATCGAAGGGTTTTCGAAAAGCAGCAGTTCAAATTAGATGGAGAAAAACCATATGAAGCAGAGAGGGTATCAAGAGAAGAGACGTCAAAGAATATTTCTGAAACGGAATCAGAAAGAACAATTGGGATGATTGAAAGGGAGGACTGTAAGTTGACAGCTTCTTATTCAAAAAAGGTTTTCTCTCTGTCTTCCATCAATGCAAGAGATTCTCATCCAAGCAAGACTGAAAAAGAGATTGTGTTTGCTGCTCAGAAGGATAGTGATGGATATTCTGCTGAAAATTTGAGTTCTGAGTTGCAAAAGTTGAAAGACAGGAAGATTGAAGAGCTCAAGTCAATGAGGGAGAAACAGAGGAAATCTCAGCACATAAACAGAGAATTGAAGAGGAAAAAGAACAGTAAAGTGAGGGCTTTTTCTCCAAGAACAGCTTCAAAAGTCGAAATCTGCAGAATAAAAGCCGTTGAAGACATGAAGAAAGCCAAGTTGAAAATGAAGACAAAGGCCAGGGAGAAAACAATGGAGGGATTCACAGGGCTAGAGAATTTCGCCGTGGTGAAAAGCTCGTTTGATCCACAGAAGGACTTCAGAGATTCAATGATTGAGATGATCGAGGAGAAAAGAATTAGCCAACCAGAAGAGCTCGAAGAACTCTTGGCATGCTATCTGACATTGAATGCTGACGAGTATCATGATCTTATTATCAAGGTATTCCGGCAGGTCTGGTTTGATCTGAACCAGGCCTGTTTTGTTGCTGAACTAGAGAATGATTACTATGAATAACAGCATTATTCAGTTAATGATAGGATCAAAATCAGTAAATTTCCTGTAAATTGGTAAGACATTACTGGTATAATACTGCGCTTCTAATTAATTATCATTCCATGAAAATATATCATATATATAGCTTGAATGCAGTGACAACTTGAAGAAAAATTACTATTGAAGTCTTTGTGTCCTAATACAGATCCACCATTATCTTCAAGAAGATATGCCATTCACTGGTGAGGAAAAGCGAGTATTTATTAGTTATAAACAGTACAAAGCTAATTGCCTGTAAGCTCTAACACGTATTGGTGCTTTAGCAATTCCCTCCCTCACTATGCTATGAATATTAATTAACGAGTGAGAGAGACGCTATCCTCACAAGTACCAAGGGTTGCTGTGCAATCTCAATAATTTGCCTTCAACATCGATGAGCGGGAAGGCAGCAAGGTGACAAATTGTGTTACCTTCCCAAAATCCATAGTTCCATACATTCTCAAGATTTATAGAATCCATAAATGTGTGTTCGATAATGTTGGTGCTTTTACCAAAAAGAAAAGAAAGAAAAAAAAATCGTTTTCACTGAGGGAAAAACTCTCAATCGCAGCCCAAACTCATCAGGAAGAACAGACTCACACCCCTTCCTTTCTAGACTTTTTTTAAAAAAAAAAAAAAAAAAAGGCTTAAACCCTGAAGCTTCTATTGGTGCTCATCACTCATTTTTCCCTATATCTTTTACTATTTTCATTCCTTTTTTTTTTTCTCATTCTTTTGCGATCGTTGTGTTGAATTCTCTCAGCAGTTGGATCTCCCATTTGTGATTTGCACACAATTAGATATTACAGAAGATAAAAAAACTAAAATAGAATGCTTAAACCCTTCTACTGTTGCTCATCGCTCATTTTGACTGTATCATTTACCGTTCTCATTTCCTTTTTTCCATTCTTTTGTAGCTCTCTGGCTATCCGATCGTTGTGTTCAATTCTCTCAGTCATTGGATCTCCTGGTTATGATTTGCACACGATTATATATTTCATCCGCATCCATTTTTTGGTCCCTGCAAACGTCGCTTTTCATCCCCATATTTTTTGCACCTTCACTTTTGATCCTTAAGAGTCATTTCTTTTACTTTTCTCTTTTCTTTTTATTTATGTTAGACTACCATCAAGTTGCTCTATTATTACCTTATTATCCTACTTCCTTTAATTTTTCTCTAGATTTTGACGCCTTTTTTTGTAACTTTCTAAATCCATTAAACGAGCTCATTTCTTTCACCCTTGTATGTTCTCTTCATTTACCTTTTATGTCATTAAGTGACTACAACATTACGTTTTCATCCTCTTTTTTATTTTTTCTCTTTGCATTTTCATGCCCTTTTAGTAAGTTCTCAAATTTAAAACGGAGACCATTTAAACCCACCATACGAAGTTTTAAAGCCAACCATTACCCTCAAATTATTAGGTTATGAAAATTTAAGATTCTTACGATCGGTTAACTATAATATGATTTAATAACAAAATTTACCTCAATATTATTAGATTTATTATAAAATAAGATCTATATTATTAATTTGAATTATTTGAACCACAAATTATTAATTTGATCATTCTTCATTATTTCTGATAATCAAAGTATTGATTGTTAACAAAAATATTTAAAAGAACATCATTTTAAGTATTTCATAAATTATTTATTTTTAAAAAATACATAGATCCATTGCATATCATTAATTATCTAAGTATAAAAGTAAGATCAAAAAAAAAAAAAAAATCATCTAAGCTACATTAAAAAACTAATTAATATTAAATATTTTTTTCCAAAAAGGCCAATACAAGGCAACATAGCCTCATATACATATATATATCCAAAGAGTCAAGGCTATCTCTCTCTCTCTCTCTCTAATATACATACAATACATTTAAAATACTGACAAAACCATCAAAGTTGCCATTTCAGGCACTTCCTGGCACCACTAACACCAATGTTCATTCTCCATGCTTACAGGACTCCAGAGAACACCATGGCCATTTCTCCAACTATCTCAAAGATGCCGAATGTCAACTACAATCAATTCAGATGTTCAAAACTCATGATATCATCAAATACCATCTTGAGAGCCTCCTCACAACACTAAGCCCATTCCTTCCACCTACCAAGGCTTTGCAGGCACCTAAAAGAGACTTTGGAACAAATTAAACTTCTTTTCCTTGCACTTCTAAAACTTCCACAAGCTCCTAAACTTGTGCCTAAACTAACAATCATCGAATTCCACATACTAATATGCTTTCTCAAAAAAAAAAAAAAAAAAAAATTGATCACATTCATACCCTTCTCAAGGTTACGTTCCATTCCATCAGAAGCCCTCCATCAATCCAAACAGAGCCTAAAGCTGGCTAAAAGGAAGTGAAAGAAGATACTCCGTCTGTGTTGTTTTTCAAGTAGAGTCTCCGTCTTTATTTTTTATTTTATTTTATTTATTTTATCAAAGAGCTTCAATCTTTAACAACTGATTTGATCATGCGACAACAGAGAACAAAGACTTGGCAGCGAAAAAGGTAAAATCATAGGCCACACCCACATATTAATCTCTAGTCCATATCAAAGCATCACATTCTATTTTGTTCCTGCTGGCTAGCTAGTATTTATGCAGTGCTAACTAGCACAGCTACAGCTAGTCTAAAAGCCAGCCTACCATTTGAGAGCTGCATTTGAGCGAGCTTCAAGTTAATTTGGATAACAATTAAGATACAGGATGGCTACACGCACAAGTTGGACCATTATGAAGAAAAGGAAAATGCACAACCCACAGTACTTGTGAAGAAAAGTTCAAAGCTTCACCTTGGAGCAAGATTTGTTGCTTTCTGGGCAAACCAGTTTTCAATCATTTTTATCTCCAGATGGCAGAAGGCCATGGACTGACTGCCAAGGAAGCTCAAGCAGCACAACTCTGTAGTAAAGCTAGCAATATTAAGATTCAAGGGCATTTAGGTGAACTAGAAAGAGAGAGAAAAATAAAGCAGAAACTTGAGAGTACGTAAAAGACCACCACACGAGGTCTCTGGATGAACTTTGGTCCCATCTACTACAAAACAAGAATGGCTTTTTCATGCATAACTACTCTTCTTCAAACAAGGAATGGCAAGTAAGCATATTTTTGCATGACATGCTGTATGTGCTTTCACCTTTCAGTCATAAAAAAGTCCTTGAAGCAAACGAAAAAAATATTCACTGGTATTCACCATCATTGAACACTTTGAGCATAGAAACAGGCCATCCTTTTTCTGTTTTCCATTCTTCACTGGTGAGATAGAAATGAATTGGAAAAACCACACTACCATCTTTGTCTTGATGGAGAGGAAAGACGCTGATATTTTCTCTGTATTGGAACCTTATCTAACTAAATTTCCAGTGTTAGGACTAGATAAAGAGCTTCTGGAATGAATAAAGCACCTACTAGAAAATTAAAATTAATTTGCCAATTTCTGCAAGTGCAGTTATAAATTACTGAAATTTCACTACTTCACTATTATGCTATTAGGAAGAGTTTCAAAGAGTGCAAACAAGCTTATCTGCTGTTTAACAAAACATAACATAATTTCCAAACCACACTGAACAGCATAATTATATGACAGTCTCCATTCAAAAACTTCATGATGTCAAAATTTGACTAGATGAAGGCACTTACAACAGAAACCAGAGGGAAAAAAGGATGGGACACTGAGATAGCTAAACAACTCAACGAGAGATAACAGAAAGGTTCCAAAGGCATTTTCATCGCTAAGACTAAAAGACAGTGTTTAATAATTGTATAGTTACTACTGTATAACAAATGAGGCACAACTAAACAGAAGGAATCTGCATTAACCATGCAAGCTATAATAAAACCTAATATTAACATTGGAAACGTAATACGCAATAAGAAATCATAATGAGGTCAAAACATAAAATCTAATATAACCTCATTGAACCAATCATACCTAATTTATGACACGTGTGTCTGAGGAATCAGAAGTTGAAAGAACTAGCAACCAATGTCAAGTTCTTTCAGCAGGAGTAAGATGCCCCATCTGCTCTGTAAGATTATTTACATTCCTTATATTCCACCAAAATTTTCCGGGATCAGCAGGTTTAATTTCATTTATTCTACCATCAGAATCCTTTCTTTCAGATTGAACTTCCTGTGTGTCAGTTGAACCAGGATTTTCAGTCAAAAACTGTTCCCAGAATACATCGTTGACTCCAGTTGCCACAGAGGGAGCAGTCCCAGTTGGTTGTTCCTTCGGTGTGACAGGATCTGGCACAACAGCTACAGAAGGCTCAGAATTCATGTCAATACCAGGTGATTTAGGACGAAAATCAACATTCAGTTGCACACAAGATATAGCTGGACTTTGTGCACCACTTGTAGACTCATCCATATCTATCATTGAAGTGTTATTATTGTAGGTTTGACCAACATCATGTACCATATTCTCCCAAAACGTCAGGGATGATTCCAACTGCTCAAACTGCTCCATGTTTAACAGGGAAACAGAATTACCATCTGCATTTTCTTTAGACAGAGCTTGGGAAGTCACTATCTGGTTATCCTCATTACTGGCTTCACCGTATAGATAACCAATTCTAGGCAGCCTTCTCTTTCTATCATGACCTTCCAATTGTGGCATTAGATTTAAGGCAAGCCCTGGTTTTGGCAACACTCGGGCCACAAAAGACACCACAGTTTGCTGTCTCCGTTCCATTTGTTGCAACTTCTCCTTCAAACCCTCGATTTGCATCTCGAATCCTTTCCGCTCTTGTTCTTGCTTCTGTAACTCCAAAATAAGGGCTTCTTTATCACATTTAAGCCTCTCTATATCGTCCTTCATACTCTGTCTGTCCGAATTCGTTAGCAGATTAGACCCTTGTCCTTGAAGATTCTGCATCGAATGGCTATGAACTGGCTTCCGTCTATGGATGTTCTTCATTAAATGTGGTTGACCTCTTATAAAATCCTCATTAGCAAATTCCCATTGCTCCGGATCAATTTTCCTAAAACCCTAACAAAACATTTCAATTCAACCTAATTAACAAAACGAGGAAGAACAGACACAGACACACACAACACCCATCAAACATATATAACCATGTAAAAACAAGGGCAAATAACAACGACGACGAAGCTAGCTAGTGTTAAAGGAAGGAATTGGCTTACATAAGTATTGAGCTGTCTGATAAAGCTGGAGAAATTATTATGCTTAAAAAATCTGGGCAGCAAATCCCTGGCAAACTCCGGTGGATTCCATACAATGAAACTCTTATTGCTCTGACTCCATGAAACAACTGAATCCGTCGAAGGATCATCCACCATCTCATATGTCTTTGCAAGAAAAGGCGGTAGCGAATTCGAACTGCCCAGTGATTCATCCATCCTAACGTAATCTTTAATCCCAATCACACCATCAACCACCTTAAATCCAACAAAATTTATCGGATGACACACTCTAGTTTCTCCTATATTTCATCACCAAATCCCAAATGCACAAAACCCACCACCAAGTCAAAACCTTTCAAATTCTAATTTAACAAACCTTAACTTCCATAGAACCCAATTCACAATCCTTCAATTCAACTTTCAGAAAAAACCTTCTCAATTTCAATCAAAATAAGAAGAACCCGTTATTAATATGGTTCCAAATAATAAATCAAGCAATCAACCAACTCTCCCTCTCAAACCAAAAGCACCTTATCCTCAGATAACAGACAGTCAGAAAGAAAGAAAACCATTTTGATGAAACCCAGATCCCAAGATTCAGATAGAAGTGGAAACCCTTTATTATTTGCTAGTATAATTATCATTAACATCAAAAACAAACAAAACTTAAGAGGACCCACTTCCCATTGTGACCAATTAAACCCCACAACAGAAGAAGAATAAAACCCCAAAACCAAAACCAAAACCAAAACTGCCAACCCCAAAGACATAACAGTTTTCTTGTATTTATAGCAAAAACATAAAAAACAACAGCAAACGCTTCTTCATTTCTGCTATTTTTAGTTACAAAATCAATATATATATATATATATACTACTTCTACTATAACTTTTATTTAATTACTATCAATAAATTAAACAAACAACTTGGAGCCTAAGCAACAGTTAATTTTATTTTTTATTTTCAGTAACTTCAACAAAAAAATTTATTTTTTTATTTTTATAAAAAGATAACATAAAGAAATTTCTTTAATTTATAAACGAAGAGGCTGCGGGGAGGAGATAGAGGGGATTTGTCATTTGATGTTCTAAAACGATGTGTTTCGTTGTAGCCGGATTTTTTTATTTTTTCTTGGGATTCCCACTCTCGGACCGCGTAGAGAGGTTTCTTAATTTTCGTTTTATTTACTAATATATATATATACTTTTTTAAAAAAAGTATACTATGATAAAAATGTGTGGATCAGGTGGAATCTTTTTTTTTAGAAATTTTTTTATTAAAAGATCTCTCGAAATTCTCAGCCAAGAATGTTAGACCTTTGAGCGTATTAGTGACTTATTAAAAAGAAAGTCTTTTTTAAGTAGGTCGCCATCCATGATATATATATATATATATATATATATATATATATTCAATCAAATCCTTTAGTATTAGTTAGAATGTGTTTGAGGATGCATTTTAGTTTTTCAAAATATTTTTAAATTGAAAAGGTATCAAATTAATGTGTTTATTTTTTGTGTTTTAGGATGATTTTAAGAAGAATATTTCAAAAAAAAAATCAAAAATCAAAAAGGCAAAAAAAATTATTTAAAAAACGCAAATTATCAATTTAGCTCTTGAAGAATTATTTTATTATGAATTGAAGTTTCAAATTACTTTATCATATCGTCTTTTACAAATCATGTGAAAATCCTCAAGTAATAATGTAGGACACTTTACGCGAATTAGTATCTTTGAGGAAGTAATTATCAATTATTGTACTTAGACCCAGCATATTTTTGTTTTCTTAATTGTTAAGCACCAACAGACCTGTGAGCGAATGGTGTTTTGTGCAATAAAACAGGTGAGATTTTATATTCAATTTGAGAATTATCAATTTATATTTAAAAATACATATATATTTAGGATTTTTTTTTTTTTAAGGGAAGAGAGATACATTAAAAAAAAACCCCTTGCAGATTTTTCTTGAATTTTGACCTAAAATATTAATTTGCTATCCCAACACAAAAAACTGTATTTTTATTATTTCTTTCATACCAGATATGAGTTTTTAATTAAGTGTTAATAATGATTTTATAATATTTATCAAAATACAATCACAATTACCCCTACAAATTTAAAGATATTGAGCTTTACACTTCTGATCACAATTTGAATAAATAACCAAATAATTTTTTTTAATCAAGGATAGATGCATTAGTTAATTAATAAAGAAGGAAATGTTTGGACATCTCAAATAATACATTACATCAATCCGAAGTAACCAAAAGATGCAATCAAAATATAATAACATCTCATAATCCCAGAAATATTTTAATATCACGATAAAATAAAATGCAATATAAAAGAAAACTAGGATAGCTTTGTTTTTGGAATTAATTAAGCGACAACTGTACACACGATGGCGTCCCTTTGATATGAACAGGGTCAAGGAGATCACAAGAGTCTCGTCGAGTCTCGACAAAGACCCATTTTTATCTCTTTTTATTATTATTATTATTATTATTTTATGGTTTTGTCTCTCTTTCAATTTGTTTGTGTGCTTTTGTTTTTGTGTGAGTGACGTGTGTGCTTTGGTGGGCTGGTGGTGGTTAATGGGCTACGCTCAAGGGATTTTTGGGGAAGAAGCTATCTATGCGTGCGTAAGAGCTTGTGCCTGTCGCTGTTAAATTTAGTCAACTTTTTTTATTATCAGAAATAATCAAAATTAATAGATAAACATGTCTGAGCTGCTTGCTGTGGTCTAACCTCGTTAACAACCCGACTCTCCCATAAACACCTTCTGACCTATGAAGATTCTGATTCTGGTAACGTGCGGTGATTACTTGCCATCAAAAAGTGAATTGATGGATTAAATGATAAATTAGTCCCTTTAATTTTGAGAAACTAATAAATTAGTGGTTGAAAAAGCTAATTGTTTGCATATTTTTAATTGTGTTAGGTTTGTTAGTGTTTTAATTTGTGTTACCTTAGCTTTTTTTCATATTATTTTATTAATTATTTAATTATATTCTTTTCAACCATACATAGTTTTACTCTATTACGAAATTTACAATAACAGGTGTATCAATTATAATAACATACCACGTCAATAAAAACTAACAAAGTTAGTATTTGATGGTAGTGTATCATGTAAATTGAAAAACTAATATCTTTATAATGGAGAGACATAAGCAAAACAAAATAAAAAATAAAAAAATTAACCAAAAATTTAACAATATCTATATTCAATCCAAAACAACAAACTGACTAGGCTACAATAATTAAAAAAAATTAATTAATTAAGAAATTAAGAAATCTTGAGATCTATTTGTCCATAATAAAATGAAAGCGTAACGGGCAAAAAAGGATCTCAAAGTTCTGAACCATTTGACTACGAACGTTTAATTGGGCCAAGATTTAGGTGGATTGGCTGGGCTTTAGGTTCTTGAACTTTTAAACATTAGGCTTTTCTTTTTCTTTTTTTAAACGAAGGCCATCACAAGTTCACAACGCCACCTTTGTATGTTTTTGGGATGAAACAATCAATGAGAAAATGAGATAGCTGGAACAAAACCCTTTCAAATCTAACTGTCACTGGAGATGGATCCCAAATTGCCAGTTGGTACCCTGAATTACAAAAGCCCATGTATATAATTGACTTTCTACATTACGATAAACCATGAAGCTTAACCCAGATTACTCCATTGATACAGTTTGTCAAAACAACCCTCCCTCCTTCCTTTGTCTTAGTGGGGCACGACCTGTCGTGCCTCAAGTTCTTGTTTCAACTGCCTACGCATCTGTCTATAATTTATTAACGTATATTTATAGGCCTGAATTCCTCATCATTAGGGGACAAAAAAAGTTGAGGTTTTGTAATTCTCACGAAAAGAAGGGCCAAGGTTCATTAGTCCGCTATCAGCTAATCACCAATGTTAAGAGTTAATAACTTGCAATTCTTAGGCCAAACTTTGGATTAATTGTTGGGTACCGCCATGCACAACTAATGGGGCAATCAATTATAGGAATAAATGCATTATAAATACACTAGTTTTTAATTCTTTTTTAATCAAATACATGAATTTTAATTTTTTTCGTTTGAATATATCAATTTTTTCAAAATTATCAATCAAGTACTTTTGTCAATTTTTTTCGCTAAGTGATAGCGTATCTATTATCCCTAAAATACCAAATTATAATTTTACCTTCTTTTTTTCTTAATCGAGTAAGTGAAATTTAATTTTTTTTTTTCATTTTAATGTATCAACTTTTTCAAAATTATCAATCAAGTAATTTCGCTAAATTTTTCATTGATCGATAAAGTGTCCACTACCGCCATAATATCAAATTACAAATTTGCTCTTTTTTAGTTGGAGAAAACTTTTCTCTCAAATTATTCTATCATTTTAAAAATTGATAAAAAATTATATATTTCCTAACTATAAAAGTTAGAACTAAACTCATTTAGATTTAGGTGTAAAAATTAAAAGAATATACAAACGTAATATTTTTCATCAAAAATATTCATTGCCAATGACCATTTGAGAGGAAAGTTCTCTCTAATAAAAAGATGATAAAATTATAATTTGGTATTCAAAAGATAATGAATATGTTATCAATTAACATAAAATTGATAAAAATACTTAATTGAGAGTTTTGAGAAAATAATCAATATACTCAAACGAAAAAAATTAAAATCCATGTACTTGATTGAAAAAAAAAGAGTAAGGTTCTGATTTAGTGTTTTAGGACAACAGACACATATTACTAAACAAAAAAATTGACATAAATATTTAATTATGAGTTTAAGAAAAAAGTTAATATACTCAAATAAAAAAATAATAAAATTTTATATACTCATGGAAATAAAGTTAAATTCGTGTACTTTTAATCTAATTATCCTAATGATTATATATAGATCTTTTGAGGTGTGAGCTTAAGTGAAAGGGAGGATATTTCTTACATTATAATGTGATCGGATGATTCAGTATTTTAGTGGCTAAATCAAACGGTATATTTGCTGTTCACCACATTACAAGGGGCCGGGCTGATAGGATCTTCCGATCATGGGCAACAAGGAAGGAACACGAGGGTGGAGAGTTTACTAAACTTATAAGTAGTGACAGAGCACGAGTAAAATTGTCCAGGGATCAAGCTAGGTATAAAAGGACTTTAAACAAAAAATAATACTTCTTTTATAATTTTTTTTAATTCATACACCAGAGCTACTAACATAATTAGTTTGTTAGGATTTGAATTCGTTATTTCTTGCTATAAGACATATTATTACTGAACTATAAGCTTTTTGGTAAAAAAAATAATACTTGTGAAGGGGTCAAATTAGAATATTGCAAGGACTGATAAGAAAAGTATATAAAATCACAGCAACTATACAAAATTTTTAAAAATTTAGGGGGGCGGAGACGGTTTCGAAAACCTAATCAATGATTGGCGTATTGTCTTAGCTTATAGGTTCTAGATACACATAATGAGGTGAAAACTAAGGTACAAGGTACATTGTCAGACTCAATTTGGAGTTTAACTCAACTAAAATTCTGGATTTCAAATCCTAGCATCAATGGGTCAACCAAGGAACAACCTAGATTTACTAAATTGAGTTCCATGATCTTAAAAACAAAACAAGGCTTGCATTTTAATTAAATAACGACAGAGGGTTGGGTTGAGAGCCTAAAAATTTGTATTTGCAATCAACCAAAAGAACGAAAGATACATAATATTCACATGTCAGTTGAAAAAAAAAAAAAAACATGAAGCAGGAAAATTCATC